CCATCTCTACTGCTTAGCTATCTGTTCTCCAGCTGCTGAGGTCTGCTTCCTTCCTCAGACGATGTATAGATCAGAACCGCCTCAAGCAAGACATCTTCCTTCGTTCCTTCGTTCGTTCGTTCGTTCGTTCGTTCCTTCCTTCCTTCCTTCCTTCCTTCCTTCCTTTCCTTCCTTTCCTTCCTTCTCTCTAAGAGTACACAGATCACACTGCTTTCTCTTAAAAACCAATCAGTGGAAACCCGTTTCTAAAATACCCACTAGTTCTTCAAGCTGTGGTCCAGGACATAAGACTTGCAACTTCAGCTCCCAACACATCTGAAGGTGAGTTGTGTTGCCCTGTCCCAGGAAGCTGTTGTTCCCACCAGGCCACTGTGCAAGGACGAAGGAAAGATTTAGGTGTCAAGAGTGGGAACAAGAGGGCTCAATACCATGGTACAAAAGTGGTAAAAAGGGACTGTAGCTTTTTAAGACCAAAATAAACCATTATGTTCATCTTTCTACATCACTGTAGTCCGTCCTTCCTTCCTTCCTTCCTTCCTTCCTTCCTTCCTTCCTTCCTTCCTTCCTTCCTTCCTTCCTTCCTTCCTTCCTTCCTCCCTCATATCTATCAGCTACCTGACCTGGGGATAATCATGTAGTCATTGAGGAGAAGATTCAGGGAAAATAAGTCACTATCTGGACAAAAGAACACTTGAGAGCTGGTTTCATATATTCATGCGGTTATTCATTTGCCGTCCTCATCCCATAACTTGATGACCCTGTGTTCAGTTCCAACACCTTCTAACCACAATTCTGAAGACATCGCTGAATTTAGCATTGCAGGCTCCTGAGGAGGAGATAAGCAGGATTGTCCCCACATATATGGATAAGGCAGCAGGAGCACAGAGTGACTAAAGGATTTGCCCAAATTAATTTAAAAATGGCCTGCAGTAGGAAATCAAATTGTACGTCACCTCATGCTCAGGCCTCTGAATTCTCATATTGATACAGCTCAGCCATGTGTCTTTGCATCCCAAGATGTGTCTGACGCTTAGACGGGGTGGTCAGGGGTGTTCTGCACAGGATATTCAGGCTCTCAGCTTCATAGGCCAGGCTCCTTCAGAAACAATTTCCAGAAGTGACCAGTGACTCGGAGAGCTCTGCATTAGGGGGTGCCTCCAAAACATCCCTAAAGGCCCTCTGTAAGTCTCAGCACCTTCTCCACCGGCAGCCAGCCCCCACAAAAGGGTCCAGAACAGAGTACCTTGAAGCACCAGCCACCCAAGTCTCTAAGCCCTACGGGGAAATTCGGGAGCAGGCAGGAATTAAAGAAGCTGAAGCCAGAGCTTTGGTGACCTTGTGCTGCACTGAAAACAAAGTGGTTAAAATGCTCTTAAGTCAACATCCCTGTGAGGTATTAGTCCCTATTAACCTTCTCTTGCCAGATGACTTTCCAGAAACTCTCTTCAAGTCCTAACGAGCTGCTTGTCTCCTGCTACCAGAACCACCCAGAGAGGAATGAGGCGACCTGACAAATACACTGCACTTTCCTGTTATCTTTGCTAAGTCTCTTGCATTTTTATATGGCACCTTAATAACCCCTCATTTCCATTACAAGTGCATGCTTTCCTTCTGTTTATCTGTATCTCTATACACTCCTTCTCCATTCCTGCAGCCACACCGCCTCCGGCTACCTGAGGAGCTCTTCAGAGCTCCGCGGGGTCGGGAGTGCTGAGCAACGGGAGGACAGCCCTCTAGCAACTCCAGGAGGTGGCAGGACGTGATTCACGCGACGGAGCTCTTCCATCTGCGTCAATATTGAACCCGGTGCCTTAAGTTAGGGGTAGGAGATGTAAACCCAGTGCCCTAATTTCGTGGAGTCATTAAGAGATCAGCTGCAACTTTCTCAAGAGACAAACTCCTAACCTCAGTGCCCCGGGGCCAGATCTCAGGTTCTTTGCTCTGCCTGCCTACATTCCCCAGGTAGTTACAATCAGATACAATGCTATTTGCTTCCTGTTGTGTGCTGTTAAGTGGTGGCTGCACTCCACCCCAGGGGTGGCTGCATTTCAAAAGCAGGGGAGTGATTACAGCCTATACAGGCTGTAAAAGGCACTGGGATCTTTCTGGGAAGAGACGAGCTGAGTATAATCGGTGTTTCTTAAGGCAAATCCTATCAACACCCTCCTGGAGCTGTAGGCTTTCTGCAAGATCTAGCAACAGCAAAGAGTTTAGGTAGGTAACGGATCTGGGATTTAGGGTTGGCAATCTGCAACCAAAGCTGTCCTGTAAGACCTTTGTTTAGCTACGACCAAGCCCTGGCAAACGCGCAAATTCTGCAGACCCTCTGGCTGTGTTGCCTCGAGCTCCCTCGTGGTTCGGTGAGCTCTGCACCTGTATGCACAGAGAAGCACCTCTGTTCTGAGATAATGGCTCCTGATGGAGCCCAGGTGGGATCCATGACCTGTGGACTCCTAAGCCAAGGCCATCGCTCTCATGCCCGCTCAGGAGAAGGTTTTCTGTGCAAACACCATGGCTGTAGTTGTTTTGTTTTCCGTCCCAGCATGGCAAGGCACAGGGGCTTTACATGGCATTTGCAAACATCAGTTCAGCACCTACAGCACCTTCCCAACTAGCCAAAGGCCTGGATCAGGTCTCTCCTCCTGAGCAGAGGAAGGGGTGGTTCCCAAGACGTGAGAGCTAACCTATCCAGCAATGTGCTCTAGCCATTACAGCTGTCAGACAGAAGGGAGAAGACAGAGAAGAAAAAGAAGAGGAAGAATTATTATCATCTTCCTCTCCTGTCCGTGGCATAGCAGCATCTCGAAAGGTTTTAAGATGAGGCCACAACAGGAGGAGGTGGAAGGTGTGTTAGCTATCCTCTGGTCAGGCAGTACCTCTCTGCCAGAGGGTAATGGCATTCATCCCACCAACTTATCTAACTGGCTTCTATGAGAAGCCTTTGCCTTTCACAGACCCTAGGTCTGGTCATCAATGTCCTTGGAGAGATCATACAAAGATCCTCACCCCCAAAATTTGGTTTCTGGATCTCACCTGGGCTTAGGCAAGTGCAAGGTATCAAGTTCCCAGTCCTGTTAGAACTGAACTCACCTGTTCAAGCTCAGAAGCCGAGCTTTCACACTGCTCAGAAACTACATGGTCACCGTTTGCAGGAAGCTGAGATCCCTCAGTCCGGACAGATGCTGAATAAGGGTTTTTTCAAAATCACATTGTGGAACTGAGGGTTCCTGCATTTTCCTTTTTTGGTTCTATCCCTCAGCGACTTACTAACCTCACGATGCGCATTGACAACACGTTCCAGGACATTGCTCATATCTTCAGCTTGTAAGTTCATGCACATTATTTGATTTGCATATTGTTGTCTTTGGTAGTCTTCCCAAAGTTTAGCAGTGCTGCACAAGTTCTTGCTTAAGCCTTCATTCAATCCAGCTGGGACTGCTCTGCAAGCATGCAGCTTTGATTTCTCCCCAAGAACATGTTGGCTTTTTTGTTCGGCATATTAAACTCTCTTTGCATTAGTAAAGCCTGGAAGCATCTAAAGTTTAAGCCAAAATGCCCTGGGAAATCTCAGATCAGCAAAATATGGTGCAGAGAAGGTTTGAGTGGTTTTGAGTAGGCACCTCATCAGCTGATGCAAAGCTCGGGAGAAGCTGGGGAAGTTGCACCAACTGAAAACCTGACCTTCTGCCTTTATGGATCCATTCATATTTCAACACTGTCCTAGCTAGTCATCTGAAAGGTGTCAGAGACAACAAGCATTCTTGACTAACTGGTCTACAGGCACAAGGTGAGCTCTTGTGGGGAGTGGTATAGGATGTTAAGGGAGGACAGTTATGAGAATCATTGTGCCATCTTTGCATTGCTTCAAGGGTTTGAGAATAGCCGTGTTCCTGACAAAAATGACATTTTTCTGAAGTCAAAAAGTATTGCAGTGGTGTTTTCTGAGGTGTGGTGTTGAACTCTAGGGTCATTTCTAGTGAGTGGAGAAATATAATGAGACCAAAACCGAGGGGGAGGATTACAACCTGGTATTTTGGTATATTCCCCATTTGCAAAGCAGTTTGAAATGTTTGGTTTTCATTTTGACACAGTGTAGAAAAAAAAAAAACTGTCATCCAGGAAAGCCAGCATAATGCTGAGGTGCCCTTCCCCACCCATCTCCAGCTAGGAGGAAAGGCTGTGAAGGAAGGTCGTCACAGGGAGTCAGGCTCCTCAGTCCCTAACCATGACATCTTTTGTCTGATTCCACCCAGCACCCTGAGGCAATGGGCAGAAAACAAAAGTTCATTTCCAGTCCCCTTGGCAGGGGCCTTAATTAGATAAGTGAGCAAAACTTTGGATAGATACAAGATGCCATATACTGAGCCCTGTCTCTAAGTGAGCTAGTCAGCCCAGGAAAAAGAACGTGGACACAGGATGCTTAGTTTACATAGTGAGGATTAGGGAGTATCTGGCCATCCTGGCATTTTCCTACCTTCCAGCCATCAGCAGCTCTCTCAGTTGAGAAGGAGGATGTGCTTTACCTGTTGCTGGTCCCACCACTAAGGGTGGAGGCTGTCGTTAAGTGTAGACCTGCATTTTCCGTGTTATGGAAACATAACCCAAGTTCCGTGCATCTGAAGCCAAGACAGCAGCTCAGGGTGCAGCTGTGCGGTGCATTGCCTGCAAAATACCACATAGTATATTCTATATGCCCCCTGAAACTCAGGTTTGCACTGCTTTTTGTTTTGCCGTGACCCTATCCTAAGGCCTGAGGATGACCTTAGTCAAAACTTCCTGGCTGACCTCAGTGGCCTTGAATCAAACCTGGTCCTGTCTACACAGAAGCTTATTTCCTAGTATAAGAAAACATCTTTGGAGAAGGTCTAAGACAGACCACAGGGAAGAGGAGATTCTCTTGGTCTTCTGCCATGCCTTCGAGAGAAGGTGTTCACAGGGCTGATCAATGCCATGCGTGGACCCTTCACTGGCCACTATTCATTGATTTCTCTCTTTCACAGCTACCAGGGAATCAGCCTTTGTCCATGCCATTGCCTCTGCTGGAGTGGCTTTCGCAGTGACCAGATCCTGTGCTGAGGGCTCGGCCACCATCTGCGGCTGTGACACCCGTCACAAAGGCTCTCCTGGGGAAGGCTGGAAATGGGGGGGCTGCAGCGAGGACGTGGAGTTTGGGAGCATGGTGTCTCGGGAGTTTGCGGATGCCCGAGAGAACAGACCAGATGCTCGGTCAGCCATGAACAGGCACAACAACGAAGCTGGAAGGACCGTAAGGACATTTAGTTTCACCTTTCTCAATCTGTCTTTAATTTTCTCTTACCTGCCATAATAAACAGTGGGAGGGAACTGAGGGGAATAACAAAACATAAATCTGGGCAGTTTTACATCACGAAATGATGATACCTGCCTTATGAGAGTTCTTGTCAGGGAGGTGATCAATGTACCTGATCTATGAAAGCTACAAATAAATTCGCCCACCGGGATACAGATGTGTACCTTGCAGTCACTTGTCCAGACATCTTTTACAGAGAATGGATCAAGACAGAAAGGTCTAGGGTGGGATTTCATCCAAGCTTGAAGGAATCATTTGAAATAGCTCAGTGAATGATGCTCTAACTGTGCCTGTTCACCTCCATTGGCTGTAGGAAGAAGGTGAGCTGTACAGCCAGAGATGTCTACACTGGAGACATCTGCAGTTAAGAGAGGTGGACCAGGGTTTATGTAGAGGATTCAGCTACTTAAGCAATTGCATTTTAATATAAACTGACATACCCTGAAGTAACCAGTCTGTCCTTGGGCTGTTACTGGGAAAGACTGTGTGGCTCCTGCAGGTCCTCTGCCATCTTGGGACTGATGTCTTAGACACCCCTGGAGCTCACAAATTACATTAGATGCATGTGTTTAGGCATCTGAGTCCTACTTTGAGTGTAACTGTCCATTTCCCTGGGATCACCACCTTGCTCTGTAGGCTTGAGAGCAGGGAAGAGCAGGAGAGTACTTCCCACCACCCATCTTCTCAACACTGTTCTATTTCCCAGGGAATATTTAAAGAAAATAAAAGGGAATGTGACTGGTACCTCCTGATTAAACTTGGACCATGCCCCAAAGCCAGCTGATGTAGTTTTCAGTTCAGTCATTGACCAAAATGTATAAGGGAACAGAAAGCACAAAATGTTGTCCTCATCACAGTGACTGTCTCATACACAGTGAAACTTTTCCATAAGGTGGAACAACCCTAGTAAGAGGTCATTCTCTTTTTCATCTCAAGAACAGCCCCTCAGTACCAGAAGAATGCAATCTATGGGAAGCAATTAGTGGAACTGAGCCACAAAGCTCTTGCTGATGGGGACCATGCTGCAGATTTTCTGAGATAACAGAATTTTTTCTTATGTAGTAAACTTGAGATAGCTTATTCCTCAGTGGAAAAAAAAGATATCTCAGTGTAACCAGAAGAAATTATTATGGTCTTGTTCCCTCAGCAGAAGGCCTTACACATGTCTAGCAGAACATAGGACTGCAGTGATCTATAGCAAAGCCACCACAGTAGTACTCTTCTAGGAAACAACTGTCCTCAGGCAGGCTAGGACTTCGGTCTCAGCTTCTCAGGTGGAGTTATCCCACCTCACACCGCAGGAGAGCTGGTCTGAAATAGGGAATACAACCTTTCAAAATGGAATATCACCAGAAACGAAAAATTGTCTTCAGTGTAGATGAGTACAAGCAATAATGTGGTTTCCTCCAGCACTGGCCCAAATTATCCCAGGTACCCCAAGGTATCATGCATTGCTGGTGGCAGTTGCTGGGATAAATAATGACACAAACAGGACTGTGGAGAAGTGGGGCAGAGTGGAAAGGAGGGATTTACCTTAAAGTGAGATTCCTTGGAAAAACAGTTTTGAGCCAGCATCCCTGTGATCACAGGCCTGCAGAGGTCTTTTTACTCTAAGTCTTGTTACTTGACACTGAGTTATTTTCATACGTTTCACAAATGTCAAAGATTAGAGAACAAGATGTCACACCATTAAATGAAATCCTCCTGTTTTATAAAGCACTAGTGTTTTCCATTGTCACTGTTCCAGCACTCATGGGACAGCTTTTCCAGGCCTCCATACTCAAGTGTTTCCAGCTAAACCTGAGCCATAGACAATGTTTCATACTAGTTCCCATATGAACTCAAACCCTACGACTACTACGCCAGAAGCTTTGATTAAGTTCGGCATGATTATATGAACCAAACATTTTGTGGTTCTCTCTGATCGCTAATTACAACCTCCTTTGCGGCGGGTGATACTCTGTAAATAACACAGGAAAGCACCTGGTGAACACCAAGGTGCTGATTCATGGCAAATCTTTTGGACTCAGGCTGGCACTAGTCTGTTCATGTACCTGGAAATTTGCTGATCAGTCTGAAAAGCAGATTATCAAGTAAGTTGCATAAGGCTGTCTCCCACCTCAGAATACTGGAGGGCAACACCTCTAGAAACCTTTAGACTAATTTCATAAGAGGTAAAAGCGAATAGCAAACATCTGGGATCAATAATCACCTTTCTGTTTATTCCGGGACAGTGTTTCATATTGAGGTCTGAGCTTTTCAAAATCAAAAGTTGGGCTCCTATTCTTGTTCTTTTAAATGGCTTTATAAAAATCATAAGCCTGGCTTAAAAATAAAAACACATTACTTTTCAGGTTTCTGTACATAGCTGCAGCAAGGCTAGAACCTTTTTGCTTAAAGTAAACATGAAATATATGTAAAAGATGGAATTCTGTGCTAGATGGTTAGGATTATTCATATTTCTTTAATTGCCAGTGGAATAAATGCACATTTCATTTATGAAGACGTTGTTTTAGTAGGTTTGTGTGTTCGTTGCTTCTCGGCCTAGATGTGTCTGAACTGTGTTCTTGAGTGACAGTAATGCAATATTCACACATGAACATTGATAAAAGTTAGTATGCACAAAAATCTCTTCAGCCTTTAGTGAAAGCACTTGCTAGATACTTAAAGTTGGAGTGGGAATCAGAGATAGTCACGGAAAACAATGAAGTTACAGAGCTTTTATCTGCCTTAGACACAGCATCTGTGCAGGGCATTAACTGGAAGATGAGGGAGTTTTTGTTCACAAGTGTGTAAATATATCTATGAAAACACTACAATTCTGTAGGAAATCCTGGCTAAATAGCAGAATGCAATATGTGTTTTGAATATAGGCTAATGTCTTCCTTCTTCTTTGCCTTTCCTCTCCTCTTTTTCAGTCTATTATTGAACTCATGCATCTTAAGTGCAAATGCCATGGCCTCTCAGGCAGCTGCGAAGTGAAGACCTGCTGGTGGTCTCAGCCAGACTTCAGGGTCATCGGTGACTACCTCAAGGACAAGTATGACAGTGCTTCTGAAATGGTGGTGGAAAAACATCGAGAATCCCGTGGCTGGGTTGAGACCCTAAGGCCCAAATACAACTTCTTCAAGGCTCCAACTGAGAAGGACCTAGTTTACTATGAGAACTCACCAAACTTTTGTGAGCCCAACCCTGAGACAGGTTCCTTTGGGACACGTGACAGGATCTGTAATGTCACTTCCCATGGGATTGATGGTTGTGACCTTTTGTGCTGCGGCCGTGGGCACAACACAAGGACTGAGAAACGGAAAGAGAAGTGCCACTGTATCTTCCACTGGTGCTGCTATGTCCGCTGCCAGGAGTGCATACGAGTCTACGATGTCCACACGTGCAAATAAAGCAGGCAAAACCCTTCACTGGGCTCCAAGTGGAGAAACAGATTTGAGCCTACTTGCTCTGAGGTTGCAGACATGAGAGAAGTCTACATTTTTGATATTAAAATAATAAAAACTTAAAAAAAAAGGCTAAAACCGGTTGGATAGAATAGGTCTAATGACTTCTGGGCTATCCCGTGGTACACCTGGCAGTCACACAACTTATGCCCCAACAATGTCTCCTGTAGGAGAGAGCAGTTTTTCAACCAGTGAACAACATAGAGCTGGAAAGAAGAGCATTAGCAAAAGCATGCATTTACTCTGCTCTCACCCGCTGGAAGTGACTCGTGTGATTAAGTGTCCTTTGAAAGACTTGCATCTTCCTAAGTATCTCCTTTTCCCTCAGCCAGGCAGAGGTTGTGTTGGACAGCAGCACGAAGCTTTCTGAGATCTATCTACATGCCCAAATGGCCAGACTCTGTATAATATGAGCAACAACAGCAGCAAAATAAATAAAAGCAGATAAATTAATATTTTTTTTTAATAATGCAAATACTCCTTTGCTTTTGCCCTGGAACCAGAGATGTCTACAAATGTATAATAGAGCTGTAGAGTGGACAGGCTCTATGCATGAACTTTTTAGCATAGTAGTTTCTGCCAGGTTTGACACAGAATCCCGTGACACTTATAGAGAGGGAGGGAGGGAGGGAGAAGGAGAGGGAGAGAAAGACAGAAAACTGCTGATGCCCTGTTGGCACACAGATGATGTGCACGGTACAGAAAAGTTCAGGGCCAGACATGTGGAGAGGACTTGGTGTAGTCATTGAGAAGGAGACAGTCCCACGAATAGAGATGTTGCTCCAACTGTGGCCTGGTATGTGGCTCAGCCAATGAGTCTTCCTTGAAAACACGTGGTGGAGAGTGAGTCTCCTGGGGTTGGACACTTGCAACTGGCACATCCAGCTCCTCAGCATCCCAGCTTGTTCCCGTCAAAGAGAAAAAGGAATGTATTTACCCCTCCCACCTCGTTAGAGAATGCTGTCACCAACGGTGGAAAGTGCACTTAGTCCATCCGCTCTCTGCACGTCATGCAGGCTTCCCCCTGGGCACTTAGCAAAAGCCTTAGACCACACATCTGTCAGGATCGTGACTCTGGAGGACTGCTTGTCACCTGTTCATTTCCATGATGGTGAACCAACCCACTACCATCACCCCCTACAAGATGGAACAGTTTCAGACTTAAGTCAAATTTTGTTCTACACCTAATTTCTACAGCCATTCTCTTTCCTAAAAGTGTCACAGATTAAAATGCACAAAACCCAGACTCTGAACCAGCCCAGAGTTTGGGCAAGTTTGGACATGAGTTAAATCCTGAATTTGCAGCACTGGCCCAGCTCTGCTGTTCACCTCTGACTACCCGTCTCTGCATGCTGCTCAACCTCTGATTTCAGATCAGGATTGCCAGTTTACAGAAACAGCTCTCACCACCTCCATGAGCATCAGAGCTTCTTTCAGCCACATGGATACCTGTTGTGAATCTCAGCCCGTCACCTCAGTATTTACAGCACTGTACCTCTGCTTGAGTTATTCCTGGTACAAATGGTGAATCAAGCACGGAGTTGTAGCCCATTTAGCCTCAGATGCACTTGTCCTACGTCCTCTTTGCCTTGCCCATACCTTTGGGCTCCTGTCTTAGGAAAAGGACAATGAATTGGCTTTTTTTTTTTTTTCTTCCTCTTCAATACAAGAAGGGAAATGGGGTATGATCTAAGTCCCAGTGAGCCATAAGAGTCTTTTCATGGCAATGTGATCATGGCTGTTGGCTAGTTCACACCTGCATGTCTGTGTAGAGAAATCAGAGTGCTCTTCTGTCCCTGCATTTCAGCTTATTCCCAGGAACCAAAGGAAGGAGTACAAAGAAGAGGCAGGGAACAAACAGAGCTTAAACCCATCAGAGAGAAAACAGGAAGAAATGATGCCTCCAAGGGTTGACTCTGAGTCATGGTGTCTCCTGGGACTACTCCTAGGCTGGTGCAGTTTATGCATCACCCATTTGTCTCAGGGCTGTGCTCAAGGGCACAAGCAACCTTTGTTTATTCATGGAGGCACTTCTATCAATGCTCTGCAAAGAAAGCTGCAAAGAAATGAGAGCGGAGATGCAGAAGGGAGAGAAGGGGAGAGGAAGAGATCAAGAGAGACAAAAAGAGGGGAGAAAAACCAATCAATCATATCTTACATGTAAATTTTTCACCCAGTGGATGGCGACACACCAACTGGTAGAAAGAAACAGACCACCAAAAACTGAGAGAAAGATGGACCGATCAATGGATGCATGACTGATTTTTGTAATAGTCTGGGAGAAAAGGAAAATCTGATCATTATGGCAAATAGAGAAGGAAGCCACTGCAGGGGGAAATTACCACAATAGCCAATATTCAAATACAAGTTGTCAAGAAAGCAGACACTGAAGAAAACCACATATGTGGTGGAATTGATGAATTGGTAAAGATGGGACAAGGGAAGATATGTCTGATTTACTTAATATGATGCAGTGCTAGCAGTCACAGCAAGATGTTAGACACCTCCCACGAGGTACTTCTGTCAGTGAATGGTGCTCCAGCAGTGAAGATGCAAATCATTGCAGGTCACAGTCCCTGACAATCCATTGACTTCAGCAGGGTCACACCCACAACTAATTTTACCCTAATGTTTTTAAGCAATGCAGTTTCAACTCCTTCATTTATACCATACCAGTGAAGAAATGGGTTGAAGAATTTGGCTTCCGTGCCAGGGAGCTGGACACTGACCCCAGCCCATCCACAGCCTTCCAGCATCCACCGTTTCTGCTTTTGAACCAGAATCAAGCCCAACATCACTATCAGGTGAATCTCTTTGGGAAGCATGGGGGACAAAAAAAAAAAAACCAAAAAACAAACCCACAAACAAACGACAAACTAGGCATTTGTTGAGCAATTGCCTCTTAAGATGAACATACAGATTTTGACTGCAACAGTGGAATTTATTTCATCTGACCATGCCATCTAGTCTAAGCTATTTATCTAGTTTTCTGCTAGGATCAATGGCAAGAAACAAACAGGTCCAGAAGGTGATACGTTATAGCTTAGAATGGTATCTAAGCTATGTTTGTTAAATTGCCCTCTGGGTTTACCCCTGTTTTTCCTCTGACTTTAGCTGATGAGCTCGTACTAGATGATGAGTTCTTAGATGAATACAGTCTGATGATGTGAAGTCCACCATGCGTCAAGGAGGTGAAGCTACAATCAGCTGACATGGGCTGGAAGTGTACCCCTTCATTCAAATCTGGGGTCAGGCTTGAAACATCTCAGTGGCTGGGGACTTCCACCCCATTCAAGGGATTTTTAATGAAGCCTATGCATACTTGTTTGGTTCGATTATGTAATTAGTGTTGATGTGATGATATAATGTAAGGGGTTGAGCAGCTGCTACTAAAGTCAATGAAAAATGCCTGCGCGAATTCTGTTAATCACCCCAAGTACATCTGAGGGTCCTATCCTGGGTCTGCCTCTGCCCACCCATAAAGAGGGGAGAGTGAGACCCTGCTAAGGGTCTGGGAGCATTCTGAATGCACATGCTAGGCCTGTGTCTGACCCCAGGCTTTGGAGAAGGGACTTGGGCCATCACTCCCTCATACACATGGAAATGTCTTTGGAAAATTAAGTGCCCACTCCACTGCCTACACTTGATGTCTCAAGTCAAGGTTGCCACTGTATTGGTGTGAAAGATTGAGCCAATGATGAGTGAGGTGCCATCCCTCCCTATACATCATCATGCCTACATTGAGCCTCGTTAAGGAGATGGTCTAAATACAATCCAGAGCTTTCTTCTGCCTCAGGTTCTCCCATGCTGTGAACACAGTAGGGCCTTCCTTACAGAAGGGACTTAGGGCTTCACTCAATAGTAGAAGAATCTGGTGATGTTTTAGGTGCCCTGCAATATCCTTTTGGGATCCAGCTGTTGCTTCAGTGACACAGGGCTCTCACAAGTCTTGAACCTGGGTAGATATGTCAGACTAGTGTTTCCAAGATGACATGAGATGCCTGCGTGTAGACAGTTGAGTTGTGCACTTGTCTGGAAATGGTTTTCTGTCAAAGTTTCCCCTCCACCTCAGTCTATAGTCAAAAGGAAAAGATCATTTCGCACAAATAGGAGCTGGCCAACTCAGCCTCTATGATCCACGGTGCTCTTCCCTTCAGTCTTCATTTCTGATGAGGTTTGTCCTCAGGCACATGGTTTGTATCAGGGATGGGTCTGGCAGTACCAGTGAAAAGGGAGAAGGTATCATCCAACCAAGTAACACAGATGTAAAAAAATAAAACTAAAAAGGGAACATAATCCCATCAATCCCATCCTCTCACATGCTGCTATCCAACCTTTCCTTTAGCTGAACAGATGGGTTTGACGGGCCAAATCAGTTCCACAACAAGCCTATTAAAATCAGTGGAGTTACCTACAAGGGGTGAACTTGGACTCATCTCTTTTCTTTCTATGAAAGAAATGGAAAGTTTAGGAGGGGTTTTTTGTTTTGTTTTTTGTTTTTTTTTCTTGTTTTGGTTTAGTTTTAGAATTTGGGAACTTCTCTTTCTCAGAGAAAAGAAAAGCATGGGGAGAGAAATGCATGACATTTTCTATTACTTGACCCCTGATGTATCTCTTCTGACTGTCATGCTCAGCACTGACAGTCTTCTCCAAAGCATTTTGAAGTCTCCAGAATTGTTTTCACTCCTTATGAGGGGCTTCATGTGCAGAACTAAAGCAGATACGACTTAATCTTGGGAGGAGGGGCTGCAGAGACAACCACACCACAAAATGCAACATGGTACGGAAATCTCTAAGTCACACACTTCAGCCCTGCAGACAGAAGTGCTATAGTCTTAGCTGAGCATTGCAGAATATCTGTATTCTGTCAAAGGTCAGAGAGCAATTTCTTCTGCCACTCAATCTAAAATATTTTCGGTGTTTTCAGTTCATTCAGATATATTACCACAGAGATGTCCATGGATTATAATACCTTCATCATGTGTGTTCATATGCTTGTCTTATTCTTATCCTTAAATTCAAATACAGGAGAAACATTGTGAGCTTTGGGTCACTTTCTTAGCTTCAAAGAGAGGTTCCAGTGCTGGAAATATGGGGTTTGATGTTCATGGGGATATTCAGGGTTACAGCAGGAGCACTCTGCAGGAGCTAAGAGTTGTGCATCCAGTCCTAGGTTGTGCACTATGGAAGTTACTCCAGGCTTCCCTTGATGCCTTAATGATATTGCTTTGGGAAGACAAAACAGGGCCATGAAAAGACACCAAATCAAACTGCCCTGCAGACACCAACCACTGCACCTGGTTAACAGGCTGCCTGTAGGAAAATGACTCCTGGCTCTTCCAGAGACCTGCTCCAGAGCTGGGGCTGCTGAGAAGGCAATGCTCTGCAGTCAGTGGTGTAGCGAGTGAGTGGGATATTTGCTCAGATCTGTCAGTCATGTGCCCAAGAAGCTGT